AGCTCGCCCCTTTTTACATTTTTAAACCTTCCCCCCCCACCAAAGGAAAAAATAGTAAATCACTGCTATGTTGCACAGTAGAATAAAAACGAGAGTTCAAGTACATATTCAAGTTTCCACAGAATGCAAATAAAAGACATGATATTACTTGCAAAATCTGACATTATCAACATGATTTGGAGCATCTCAGGCTTTACCCAGAAATTCAGTTGCCATTCTATAAAGAAACCCTCCACCTAATAATCTTTTAGAAGTCTCGGCCCCACCACGTCTTCCTGAGGACTGGAAAGGAATTGCTGTCTTGTGATCAGACTCCAGATGTTTCTGGCAGTTTTGTAATCAGTAAGGAAAAAAGGTGACTGATTCTATGTGACAATCAGCTGTAGTCAGCTGATCTGATTAGAAGCTTTGATAACTGTCTGGTGGCGATTGCAAATAACAGCCAGACATATTGGGATGATACAGTAAGTAGCCCATGGTTTTGGGGTCAGCTCTTGTACAAGAATAAAGAAACAAAAACATCTGTAGGTAAGGTATCAGAAAATAATCGTCCACAACCAAAAAGGCAAGGAGAGTAACGGAACTTTGAAGGAATGTGTCCACATGGTTCCTTCCCACAGCTCCTCGGGGAGCTGCTCAGTGTGTTCCAAGGCCAGCCTATTATAAGTCTCATTGATTTCAAAAACATAGTAGAATACTGCGGCACTTGCTAACAGATACAGTCCCACTGTAATCCATCCCATCCTCTGACAAGTTCATCGTTCTCCATGCTCTCTGCAGTGGCCCTGAAAATCTTCCTGTTCCACGGCAAGTGTTAGAGTCACTCAGTTCTGAATAATCAGGTGCCTAGGGCATTTCAAGAAAGCTACCATAAAAGAGATCTCAGGGGTCACCTAGCCTGGAAAAAGGGTGAGTGCAGCTAGCCTGGGAAGAAGCTAATTGTGATTAAGTCATGTGGCGGACTGCCCGTCACCACAGCCAAGGTGCCAGTGCCACCAGGGCCTTCTGGCAGGCGGCCCCACCCCCTCATGTTGCAGTGCCTGTGCAGGCAGCCCTGGGCCTCCTCACCCACTGAGCAGGGATGCCACGCTGTGACCATTGCCCGAGCGAAGGAGGCTGGAGAAACCCAGCCCTCACCTTCATGTCCCAGGTGGCCTGCCCCACAAATTATTATTTTTTTTTTTTTAAGACAGGGTTTAGGGCTGTTGTACCATAGGGTTGCTATGAGTCGCAAACTACTCGACGGCACATAACAACAACAACAGTTGTTATGTACCATAGAGTCAGAACCAACCCATAGCTGACCCTCTGGCGGGTTTTCAGAAGCAGTTAATTACATGATAGGAGATTGCCCATCCTTCTCCCTCAGAGCAGCTGGTGGCCTTGAACTGTATGCCTTTGGGACTGCAGCACAGCTTTTTGCAACTAGGCAACCAGAGCTCACTACTAGTTAGCAAATTTAAATTTAAAAATAGTTTCTAAGGTCCTTCTGAAAGAAGTTAAAATTAAGATAAACTTTAAGCTTTCTTACATTAAATATTCATGACAAAGATGAAAAAGTAATTGTTAAAACAAAAAACAGCAGATATCAGACACTATCCAAACTACAGTTGACCCAGTCAATAAAAATTCAGAGAAGGGAGAAGCTTAGAGGAAGACAAGTAAAAACAGGTGAAGATGTTAATAATCAAATAGTTGTAAATGGAGAATTCTTTCTTGCTAACAGACAACAAATGTGAGATTGAGTGAAAATTAAAGAATGCAATTATATAATCCTTAAATTTAATTGGAATTGGAAGTTAAATTTCTTGGTCATATGTTGTTTATTCTTCACCAAACTCTTCGACAATGGTTATAGATTCCATCAAAAGTAGATGACAGTTCCCATTTCCCTTCATCCCATATTAACAGTTACTTTTTGCTTTTCTGGTAATACTCATTTATTGTTATGTGCCATCAAGTCACCTACAACTCCTAGTGACTATGTACAGCAGCTCTGAAGCCTGCCTTGTCCTGAGCCAATCTCACTGACTATAGCACACCAACCCATATTGCCCTTGTTACTGTATCAATCTGTCGCATCTGGGGTTTTTTCCTCCTGCGCTGTCCCTCCACCCTTCTGAGTATGATATCCTTCTTTAAGGATCAGGGGGGAGAGGTGTGTATATGTGTTTGTGTTTGGCCACATGCCCAAAGTATGTGGTACAGAGCTTCAAATTCCTATCCTCCAAGGAGAAACTTGTTTTCACCCTCTCCAAAACAGACTTACTTGTTTTCTTGGTGGTCCATGGTGAGTTCAAGACTTCTCCAGCACCACAACTCAAAGGCATCAGTGCTTCTGTCTTCCTTCACCATTATCCATTCTCTAAACTAACACCATTGATTCTCAGTACTCTGGAGAGGTCCCTGACAGCAGATTTACTTAATGCAGTTCATCCTTTGATTTCCTGACTGCTGGTGCCAAGAGTATAGATTGTGGAGCCAAGCAAGCTGTAACTGTTAACAACCTCAATCTCTTCTCCATCTATTGTGCTACCAGTTGGCCCAGTGGTGAAAAATCTTTGTTTTCTTAATGTTTAACTTCAATCCATATTGAAGACTACAATCCTTGACCTTCTGTAGCAAGAGCATCAGGTCCTCCTCAGTTTTAGCAAGCAAGGTTCTATCATCTGCATAACGTAGACTGTTGATGAGTCTTCCTCCAATCCTGATGCCACATTCCTCCTCATAAAGCTCAGCCTCCCAGAAATTATCTGTTCTGCATATAGATTGAAAAGGTATCCAGACAGGATGCATCCCTGATGCACTTCCTTCCTGATTTTGAACCATGCAGTGTTTCCCTGCTTCTGTTCTGAGGACTGTTTCCTGGTCCAAGTATAGGTTTTATACAAGCACAATCAAGTGTTTTGAGATTCCCATTTTCCTCAAAGTTAACCACGATTTGTTGTGATCCACACAAATGCCTTTGCTTAGTCAGTGAAACACAGATAGATATACCTCTGGTAATCTTTGCTTTCTGCCAGGATCCATCTGACATTGGCAATAATGTCTCTAGTTCCACAGCCTCTTCTAAAACCAGTTTGTATTTCTGGTAGTTCTCTGTCAGTGTACTCTTTCAGTCAATTTTGTATAATCTTCAGCAGGACTTTGCTTGAGTGTCATATGAGTGATATTGAATAATAATTTCCACACTCTGTTGGGTCACCTTTTTTAGGAATGGGAATAAATATGGATCTCTTCCAGTCAGCTGGCCAGTTAATTGTCCTCCAGATTTCTTGGCACAACCTGGTGAACACATCCAAGGCAGCATCTATTATCTGTTTGTTGAACTAATGTCAGTTGGTGTTACATCAATTTGGGGGCTTTATTTTTTGGCAATGCCTTTAGAGAATTTTAGTGAATATGAAATAATATCTTATGAATTGATGTGTGTTTTCCTATGACATTGAACATACTTTCATTTTATTATTGTCCCATTTGTCATATTAAATCCTATTCAAGACTTTTGCCTGTTTTTAATTGTATTTTGTCATCTTTTTTGTTGAATTGTAAGAGCCCTTATATATCCCTTTTATATTCTTTTATCTGTTAAGATAGTATACCGTTATCAGATTGCTATTGCTAAATACTCTCCCATTTATTAATTGTTTATTATTCTCATTTGTTAATAGTGTGATATGATGCACAAAGTTTATTAATTTTTATGAGGTCTGTTTTTGCCTTTGCTCATTTTCTTAGTATCATATCTAACAATGAAGTAGAGCCTCAACTTCATTCTTTAGAATTTGGAAATCTAGTTGTCCTAAAACCACTAGCTGAAGAAATTATTCTTTCTTAAATGGACTTGATAGTCTTGTGGAAAATCGGAGAACCTTGGTGTATGTCGTTGTTAAGTGCCGTCGAGTTGTAGGCGTCTCATAGTGACCCTATGAACAAAAGACCTGGATACTTGTATAACTTTAGTCCTTTCTCCAGGTTCGTAGGGTTTCCAGAGGCAAGCTATTTCAGAAGTGGATGCCACTCCTGCTTCCAAGCTTGTTTTAATCGGGGTGTATAGTGTTCAGAATTCTTTATTATATTGATCTCTGTGTCTGGTTTGTGCCAGGTGGTAGCATAATCCATAGGGAGTTGCATTGCTAACCCAGAAGCCATGGCTGGTGGTTTGAATCTACCCACAGCTCTAAGGGGGAGAGACAGACAATCTTCTCCCAGCCTCAGGAACCCACTGGAGGTAGACAGCAAGGAGAGATGCTGTCCGTAGTATATTTTGATGTTAGAAAGTGTGAGTCCTCCTAATTTGTCCTTCTACCTCAGTGTTGTTTGGGCAGTGTTATTTTCAGTGTTGTTGTTCACGAAGCTAAAATTGGGATTACATGCCCTAAAATCTGCTCATCTAAGGTGCTGCATTTTAGTATGTCCACATGTGGTCCAGTCATTGCCACTGTTCGTTTTGGAAGGTTTCATCACCTCACAAAGAAATCGTGCTGCACAAAATCTTGTGCTTGATGTTATTCCTAATTGCCAAAAAACGGAACCAACTGAAAGCTCCAGCAGACTGTAGTATATCCCTATAATAGAAATTCATCACCAGTAAAAGGGAACACAATACGAGATCTGCTGCAACTTGAGAGAACCCCAAAGTCAAAGAAGCCATGCACAGGGGAGCCCCATCACAAATGATTCCTTTGTATGAAATGTCTGCAACAGGGAAACACCTCATGTCTCTCCAAAATAGATAATTGACCTTTTTTCCTTCTGGTTATTAGAGAGCATAACCAGACAAATGGAGCTTCTACAGCTCTTCATAATAGTTAATGACATACTCAGAATTGTAGGCAGAGTCCCACCTTTGTCCAGGTGATGGTCTCTGTCTCAGTGGCTTTCCTGCCTGCACAGAGTAGTGGGGCCAAGTGGACCTTTGTGAGTGTTGCATCCATGCAGCCTCTGATCCAGGGTTCATGGTTCCCTGCATTTCCCCAACTCCTTGTCTCCATTTCCAGCTCAGCTCCATCTCCAGCAGGCGGCGCTGCAGCAGCAACAGCAGCAGCAGCAGCAGCAGTTCCAGCAGCAGCAGGTGGCACTGCAGCAGCAGCAGCAGTTCCAGGCCCAGCAGAATGCCATGCAGCAACAGTTCCAGGCGGTGGTGCAGCAGCAGCAGCAGCAGCTCCAGCAGCAACAGCAGCAGCAGCAGCACCTCATTAAATTGCATCATCAGAGCCAGCAGCAGGTACCTGGCTTCATTTTCCCACTCTGGTATCCGTGAGCTCTAGCCACAGGCTGAGTCCAGGCCCATCTGGTACCATCCCTCCTCCCTTGACTCCACAAGGTCTGGAGACAAGGAGAAAACCCAGCAGGCTTTGTGCAGGCATAGGGCAGCAGTGTGAACCACTAGTGCTGAAAAGTAGAAGTGGCTTATAGAAGAGTTTAGTCAGAGCAAGATGTGAGCATAACTTTGAGATGTGGAACATTTGTGCCCTTCCTGGGTAGCACATTCCTTTAAAGGGTTCTCATGCCTCCCCCCCATCTCCTTCCGTGTGCACATTATAATGACCTCCTAGCTGGTGATTTACAGGGATGTCTTCGTAGCTGCTCAGTGAGCCGTTTTTCTTTCTCATGTTTGCAGCCCCAGTCTAGAACACTTTCCATACCTTTTATGAGGTCATGGAGTGGCTCTACCCCCTGGTCACTGCTAGCCTTGGCTAGCTAGGCACCCCCTCCTAGATCTTGTAGTATCGCCCCTTTAGGTATGACAGTGGACCATTAGCCCCCATCTTCCTTTCACTTCCCACAGCAAACCTTGGCTGTCTTCAAGAGGCTTGAATTACTGACCGGTTAGAATGCCAGAAAAAGTAAAGAAATCTGCAGTGACCCAGGTTCTTGGCCTTGCTTCCAGGCTACACTTGTTCTTTTGTACTCTGTATTTAACCCTTCAGACGCTTCCTCATACCTGTCTTTCATGCCCTCCTAGAGTTGGAAGGACCTTCTGGCAAAGCTCAGAAGCATGTTGTGTGTTCTCTGTATCAGCCGTAGCCCCTCTGTGAGGTCCTTGCCCACTTGAGTGATCAGCCCAGGAAGGCTTCGTTGCACATTTTGCCAGTGCCTGCCTGGGCTTCCAGAGAGCATAGCAGGTGCAAGGCCGCTTGCATCCCAGGGGGCTGAATGAATGGTCCCGGTTCTGTCCTTAGATCCAGCAGCAGCAGCAGCAGCTGCAGCGGATGGCACAGCTACAGCTTCAGCAGCAGCAGCAGCAACAGCAGCAGCAGGCACTACAGGCACAGCCGCCCATGCAGCAGTCACCAATGTCGCAGCCTCAGCCTCCGCCTGCCCAGGCCCTGCCACAGCAGCTGCAGCAGCTACATCACCCACAGCACCACCAACCACCGCCACCACCCCAGCAGCCACCGGTTGCCCAGAACCAACCCCTGCAGCTGCCACCACAAGCCCAAACTCAATCTCTGGCATCCCAGGCACCAGCCCTGACTGGACAGATGCTATATGCCCAGCAGCAGCTTAAACTTGTGAGTACTCAGAGTAGGCTAGTGCAGCCCTTTGTGACTATAACTAGCATATGTTTTTCTTTCAAGTACTAAGATGCAGACAGGTCTTTGCTGTGTCACCAGAGAGTGCTGGACTCTGAGGCTGGCTTTTTGGCTGACACTGGTGCCACCCCCCCTTTTCTAACCTGGGAAGCTTGTGTTGCAATCAGCATAGATCACCTAAGTGGTGTCCAGGGCCTCTGAAGACCCTGGGGGGTTAGATTACAGGGTACCACATGTGTTTTCAGGGGAAAGATGTGTCTTCTCTGTCCATGGGGTTTGCTCACTACACAACTCCATCCGATCTATCTGTCAGCCCTGTAGGAAGTACTCTATAAAATGACATCCTGGGTTATGAAAATAATGAATGATCACTCAGCTCCTCCCTAAGAGGTTGCAGGTTTGCGTCTGCTCAGTGGCACCGTGGGAGAAGGGCCTGGTGAGATCCTGAAAGTCAGCCATTGGAAGCCCCATAGAGCATAGTCCTACTCCAGCACACATGGGACCACTGAGTCTCTGTAGACTCAGCAGCAACGGGGAGTTTTTGTTGTTTTTATTAGAGAAAATACTGTCTTCTTTCTTACTTTGCATTTCCATACAATATGAATCCCAAATGTCAACACTTCAAGAGACAGACGAGCCAACAGGGTGGGTTAGCCTAGCAGAAGGGTCACCTTGATCTCATTTTTCCTTTCCCTCATTTGTTTTTGTCCTCTTTCCCATCTGCCGTTCATTGACCAGGGTGTGGTGGATGATGCCACAAAGGTAGTGAGTGGAGGGAGGTCTCATACCAGGAAGCTAGAGAGGGTTTATCGAGCAGAGATCTGTCAATGGAAGCTGACTCCTGTCAGCTGCTGGGACTTCTAGACCTTTCTTGCTGGAATTGGACCCACTGGATGGAAATGTCCAAGGAAAGAAGGATCCTTTGGGGCTTCACTGTCCACTGAGTCCATGGTGTCCTGCTTACCCGTGAGACTCAGTGGCCTGGGTTCACTTTTCTAGCCATGCTTCCCTCAAGTTCAGGGCTCTTGGCACAGGCTCTCGTGGGCATCGGTGCTTAATCCAGGCTGTGCACGGGCTATATAGTGCTGCCTCAGCAAGAGCAGAGCTGCTTCTCCTCAGAACAGCATACCCACCAGGATGGGACATTGCTATGATCTTATGGTGCACAGGTTGGTCAGGATGCAAGGCTGTAGCTAGCTAGTGGCACCACATCTGGAAAAATGCTGTGCCCTATCTCAAGAAAGCCTTGGAAGTTGAGAGCTACCATGGAAATTGTGGGTGCTACACTCCCTACTGGGGCACTTCCTCAGTGAGTACTCTTCCAACCCAAGGTCCGTGCACCAATGGTGGTGCAGCAGCCACAGCAACAAGTGCAGCCGCAGACAGCCGTGCAGACACCGCAGGCCACTCAGATGGTCGCCTCTGGAGTCCAGGTAAGGATCCTGAAGCCCTGAGGTGGCCTGGCTCCCAAGCAGGTAGGTGCATGTCCACACACGCGTGGAGTGGGATTGCCATAGGCACATAGTTCAGGAATCTAGTGGCCTTTCAAACGCCTCTCCCTTCCCTTCATTCTCCTGCGCTGCTATCACAGAAATGCCACAAAAGGGTATCTTTACCAAGTACAAGTCTGTGCTCTTGCTGTTTAGGTAGCTAGATGTCCAGATTTAGGGTGCCGTTTTTATTTAGTGGACACTCTCTCTTGGCCCTACAAGAGGTACTGTTTCCTTTCGCCTCAGCAGGCCTGGCATTGTTTGGCGATATTCATGTGTCCGGCTTTCCCCTGTGCACAAGGAGCTCCCTGGCTTTCCTTTTTGGTGATACAGCTGGCTCTGCTCGCTTCTCTCCTTTCATTCTTGTAAGAGAGAGGCAATAACAGACGGAGCCCCAGGGAAATGCCCACCCTAATCTTACAAGGGAGCTCTGCTGGGCCTAGGGGTAGGAAGCTACACTGCAATCCCAAAGACACAGTATAAATGCACCAACTACTCCTCAAGAGAATAATGGACACTGTTCTCCCTTACAGTTGATTGCCTCGGAAAACCCACCAGAGGGTCAGCCATGGGTCAACACCAACTCAGTGGTACACAACAACAGTCTGATCACACCAAGGGCACTATCCCTATCATCACAGAACTGTCTATCCACCTCATTAATGTTCTAGCAGTTAGAATTCACCACACACAGGATCTCTATGTTATGCTGAGTATTGTGGCCTGCCCAAGTTGCCACATGTTTGGGGATGCAGCTCAGTTCCTAACACCTTCTTCTGCTTTGCCAGGTGAGGGAGCACCTGGGGAGCTGGCCTTTGTTCGCTCCTGTCCTGGTTTCACCTTTCATTTTCCTTTGTCTCCCATGCTTAGCGACAGCACATGGATTTGAAATCACCCCAACCCCTGCTTTTAGCCAACTGTCTGAATTGCAGGCTGTGGGCAAAGTCAAGGCTAACTGGATGCCTGGGAGGGTCTGAGAAGAACAGCAGCTTCTGTAGACTAGGCATCCCCTGGAGATGCCATGTGGTGGGCACACTCCTTTGCCCACTCTGAACAGAGCGGTAGGAGCAGCAGGCCATCTGCCTTCGTCCTTTCTGCTCAGCTCATTGGCTGTCCCATGGTAGACGTGCTCCTGGTGGGCTGATGGCGTCTCTTCCCTGGCTCCACTAGGTCATATCAGGCATAGAGGGGGCAGAATAGGGACTTCTGTGAGGAGGCCACGTTCTCATTCTTGTCTAGAGGTTGGAGAGCAGTGTCATGTAACTTGGAATGTCCCCACAGCTGGTGTGAGAAAATCTTCCAGGTTGGAGCCAATCTTAATGGTCCCCCCAGTAGGCCTGAAGTAGAAGGAGGAAGTTGGTTTTGGGAGTGAGGTTGTGTTTGCTGCCATGAGGTGGTCCCTGAGCCCCTCTGATCCACACATCAGTGATGTCCCTGACCCCTGCTCATTCACTCTGTGTCCCCTGCAGTGTCATATAACTCATGTTTGTGTCAGACGTCCAGTCCCAGCCCTGCTATCCAAGTTTCTGGGCAAAAAAGTGGCAGCTGGGGACATCAGGAGTATTAGTGTGGCACCGAGCCTACTACGCAGCCTCCCTCATCACTGGGCAGAGTTAGCCCAGGAGCCCCATGTTCTACAGCTCAGCTATTGCCCCCCATGACCTGCGTCAGACTGTGCTTGTAGCTTTGGCAGGCCGTTCCCTGTTTGCAGGGCTTGGAGTCCATCTTTTGGCACCAGCTGTGCACTCTGGAGTGAAGCCCTCGGCCTCCCCTTCCCTGCCTTGGACTTTGTAGCAAGGCCCTCATCTTGGGTCTTGAGAAGAGCTGCTGCCACAAGTTAAAAGCCACATAGGACAGAGCATGGGAGCTGCCAGCCAGCAGTCACTGCCTCTGCTGCTGCCCGATTCCTCCTGTCTCCAGGGCTGTTTGTGTGCTAGTTCTGGAGGGGAGGGAGAGGAGAGGAAGCCTAGGGGTGAAGTCCACGTGCATGTGTGAGTTTAAACGAGACGCAGCACTCTGTGTCTCTTTGCCCTTGGCTGTCAGTCCTGTCTGCTGTTCTCGTTCCTGCCCTACAGCCAGGACAGCTACTTGGAGGGTGTTTGACTACTCATTAGGGTTCTAGCAGTAACAGAGGCCCGGGGAGTGACCAGCTGGGTGAGGTGCGGGCCCCCACCCCCATTCAAGGCCAACCCTTCAGGTCTGCAGCCACCTTCTCCTGAGCGCTGGACCAGAACAGGAGACAAGACCGGGCTGCAGATGCTCCTTCCAGAATTCCTGTGTGGTGACTGGGAATACATTGAGTCAAGGGAAACTTGTAGCTACCCTGCAGGCAAGGGCAGAGCTGCCCCACAGGGTTTCCAGTGTCCATCTTTCTGGAAACAGACTGCTGGGGATTCTCTCTCTCTCAGGGTTCTAAAGATGAGTTGACTTTTGTTTGTAGCCAGCCACTTTAACAATGCAACACTTGGGCTCTTTCAGGGAATATAAATAAGTAAGGGGACGGGAACCCTATAAATATTTTGGTGAAGTGGTTTTCCTTTGTACTGATCCTCCAGACTGAGGTCATGTTGTACATGGCACTTTATGTTAAGCTTTTTTCCACGTGTGAAGTGAAAATGCTCTTATGCGTTAAGAACCATTGGTAAACATTGCTAGAATACCTATGATTTTATTTTCTTTTTCCCCTTGTAAATTTATCCACTGTCCTTCATTCCTGCCTTGTCCTGAGATCGTGAGATTCTGCTTCTGTAAATGACACTGTGCTGCCTGCCTTGACACAGGATTAACTCGCAGAGTGGCTGCTGGCTACGTGGCAGAAACCCATCTGCGCCTTTGTCATTGTCTGTGTAACCAGAATCCAAAGATGCTGGGCTGATCTTGCTCTGTGCTACCACACAGATAGCAATTTACAGCAAGCTACCTCCCAGATAGAGCCACTGAACTACTGTGGGAACCATGGAAGTGCAATCTGCTCGTAGCTGCTGTTGGTGTTCCCTGACTTGGCTTCCCTTCCCTGTCCACACACAACAAGAAGAGAAGTAGGGAGGAGGCTCTCCCTTTCTGAACAGTCTCACTGCGGGGGCTTTGGAGGCTCTTTTAAATCTTGTCTTTTTTAAATAACTGATTGTTGGCACTGTGGACAATCTCCATAACCAGAGGGATCAGGAAGTGATCATCACAGATGGGTACTGAGCATGGGCATGCATGTTGTGTAGTCGTGGCATAGCTGCTCCCATGGAGCTTGGGGGGCTTTAGGGAGACCCTCAAAGACTGGCATGAACTTGGCAGGGCTGGGCAGGTGCTTGCTGCAGTCTTTTGGTGAGCGTCAGTCAACCCAAGCTGAAGGGTCTCATTAGAAAATGAGTCATCAAGTTTTCTCAGTTGTAAGAGAAACAATTCAATAAAGTTGGATTCTTTGACCCCTTTCCTCACAATAGATCTGTGCTCCTCTTAGGCCACCTGCCTCACTCTCCAGGGCGTCACCACCTTGTTTGGGAAGGTTGTTCCCGGGTAACATCAATGGAGTGGCACTGTTACACAGTGCCCACACACCCTCCCAGGTGACAGTGGCCAAGATTTTCGCACTAACGGGACAAAGCCATGGCAGGGCAAAGGGGGCTGGCCTCGTTTCCCCGACTTGACACAGTTGCACTCACAGGGTGGACTCTTCAGAGGGTGTTCCCTGCTTCAGCTCCCAGGCAGCCTCCGTGCATCTTCTACCTCTTCATCTTCAGTTCCATATGGAAAGAACCATTTCTGACACTTTTCCAGAACTGAGAGATGCTAAGGGACAGACAGTGATGAGTGCAGATCCCTAGAACTGTTTCTCCTTCGGTGGCCAGCTAGTTAGACGGAGTCGTGTTGAAAGGGCCTCTGCAGGTGGGCGCCCTGCCTCGTTCACAGAGAACTCTTTCTGCCAGCAGGCCTGGTGGCGTACATCTGTCCACATAGCCTGTCATTTTACATGCCCAACCACTGACCTCGATGATTCTGGCCACTGCTCTGGGGAGGGGTGGTGCTTATTCACAGACCTGGGATTTCCTCGGGACAGCACCCAAAGGCCTGCAGCACTGGAACGGCCTGTAGGTGGCATCTTTGAGGTCTCTCACATCCCAGAGCTGAGTGGACCTCCAGATGCTGACGTTTAGATATGTTGGGGCCCACCTCAATTCCTTTGCCCACGTGCCAGAAAGCACCTTGCCATGGGCACCTGGTCCTCTGCCTCAGTCCACCTGTGCACTACATTTCTGCGTTGCGATGACTTTGTCTGTGTCCCTCTATCCCCAAAGATGATCACCGCAACCATGGTCCAAGGCGGGATGCAAGTAAGAGCCCGGTTCCCACCCTCCACCGATGTATCAGCCGCACCGCCAGGCACCCTTCCCGCAGGTGGACAGCCCCCGGCTCAGGTATTTAACATCAGGTGCTGCTCCCCGCCATCAGGGACAGCTGCTGGCCAGTGCCAAGCCAGGCTCGCCCTCTTCTCTTTTCATGAGGCGAAGTCCATTGCATATTTCTTGAGGGGATATGGGCAACATATGGTCTGTTTGGTTGATTGGGGTTGTTTTTATTTCAGCTTAATATCAGGAAGTCCTTATGTTTCATTTTCCCCAGAAGATGGACGCAGAGTTTATTTTCACACATTTTACGATTTTGTTTCATTTATCTCAGACCTTTTGAAAGCGTGCTCTCCCTCTGGCATTGCTGACATTCTTTTTCCTCGTGGCTGACCATGTTCCCTGCTTCTCAGTGGCCCCACATGCCTCACCTGGCTCCTTTGACCCCTACCCTTTGCCCTGGGTCTTGTGTACTACTCTCCAGTCTTCCCTTGGCTCCACACTCCCCTCCGGACCACTGACATTCTCTGGTTTCTTAGAGATCTCAGACCCACTCTCCCTTGTGCCTTCTCCCCGTGCCTCCTGTCACCTGCACATACTGTCAGCTTCAGGTTGTGCAGGCAAAATAAAGTATGGGCCAGGGAGTTAGATGGAGGGAAGGAAGATAGAAAAAGTAAGGCCAGGCTAGTGCACTGTTAGTGCCAGAAATGAGCTCTGTGGGGAATGTAGGTTATGTAACAGAGACGTTACAGAAAGTGGCCAGCCTCCTGCACGCAGGCTTATTTGCCAGGCCTCCCCTGTCAGTGCTAGTGGAAGTTTAGCACTTCCTGAAGCCCTGGTTGGGATGTGCAGAATAGGTCCTAAGGGGTTAACTGCCACACCTTATCACACAAGGAGGCTGGAGTCAGGGATTGCTGGACAATTCCGTTTTTTCTGGATTTGCTTTTTAAAGCGGGCTTGCCTCACGCTTATCAGATTATCAAGGGAGGCTTTAGGAGAGAACTATCTGAGCACTGTTCAGAGGGGAACGTGGATGGAGAGGGATCCTTTAATGGAAGGCACTGCCTCTGGTCCCATCTCTTTGCAGCTCTGGTCTGACACTGCCTGCCTCATACTGGGCCCCAAGGCCGCCCTTGCACCCACAGGCCCCTTGTCCTGTCCCCTTCCACCTCAGTTCTTCTATTTTGCCATTCGCCTGTGCTTCCCTGAAATAGGACCATCACAGACCTGTCCACATGACTGAGGGTGCAGAGCACAAGAGCTGGGCCCTGTAGAAGCATACTTGTTCATCAGCATACGGTTTTTACTGTTCACAAGTGATGTATTGGAATACATTTTGGAGTTTTTTTTTCTCTCAGCATTTTTATTCCTGAGCAAGCTGAACAAACCAAGTACTTTCTGTTTGGTTTGGGATCTGAACTCCATTCTCTGCCCGTCCACTTGTCCACTCAGACACATAATCCTCACTCAGGACCATTTTCCATTTCCCCCTCTCACCTCAGATGCAGGCCCACTCTTCTCTCACATGAACGCTTGGTTCACTGTTGCTGTTCCCTGTGCCTGTCTCACTCCAGGACTTCCTTCCTGCACTTGCTCAGGGCCCATACCTGGCCTCTTCCTGTGCCCTGAGACCCGGGGTCCCAGCTCTGGTGACAGAGCCTTTCAGTCCTGCTCATCTGGTGGGTCCCATCACTGCCTTTACGATGCTCAGAGAGAACCCTCCAGTGCCATCCCATCATCATGTTCTCATCACCCACTCCACAGTGGGCGTCACATCCCCGCTTCTATGAGGGGGCTAGGCCACTTGTGGAACAGTGCAGGACAGACCAGGCCTCACTTGACCATGACAAACAAGTGGTGAACTGGTGGGTCCATAGTTTTACTCTACTTCGGAAGTGGGCATGAGGTACCGCAAGTGGCAGAGAGCAAGGGCCAGCAAAGTGAGTGTAGGTTGGCTTCTGGGTTGTCAGGCAAATGTGGTACAGGAAGGATGGTGCCAGGGGACTGGAACAGACCTTCTGCCCTAGGCTGGCCCAAGTGCGCTATCTCCTCTCCGTTGCTCTCGGCATTCACCCTATTTTGGGGCTCCGCCCACAGGCAGGCCCTCTGGGTTGTGGGCCTATGTCACATTGCTCCTGGGTAAAGCTGTGTTGCAGGAATTACTGAGAAGTTTCTGTTGAGTGCACCTGGCAATGTCCCGCCTGTTATCCCACAGCGGGGCAGGTGTAAATCCCTTCTTGCTCTGAGCTTCTGTCTTTCCCAGGAGTGTGGTGATGGCAGTGGTTCTGCAATGGTCAGTCAGAGGCCATCCTGCAGAGAGGAGGTGTATGATTGTGTGTGTCAACAGCAGCCTCTCGGGAGACTTTGCCATACAAAGGAATTGATCCTTCGACCTTGCTCCGCTCTGCTGCGGAGGCCTGGCCACCTCTCCCAGTCACCTGGACGTTAGGGGTGGGCATCTTCCTCCCTGACCCATCTGGCCAGGCCAGCTCTTTCCCAGGATGGACTTTTGGTGGCTGCCTCCTGACCTTCAGCGTATCTTAGTGGGATGGTGGGCCTGGTCCCTTCTGCCCCTCTTGTCTTGGATTCCTCTTAGAGACGAAAGCACAGCCTTGGTTGGTTTTGTTGATTTTCCTCGCTGGAAATCTCTAACCTGCTCCCCAACCCGTGGAATCTGCTCTCCACCTTCTCAGACTTTGAACTGGGGCCCGAGGTAGACACACATGCTGAGATGTTTGGGAGACTACTGGGCATTGCCCTGAAATTGGGGGTGCTGGGGTTCCCTCTGAGCCATTGGCCAGAGTTAGAGAAGCCACATAACAGTGACATGGACACCTCAGCATTGCACTGAGCTCATCTGGACAATTGATTCAGGGAATGGGAAGAGACAGGTGTGTGGGGCTACAGAGTGAGGTGGTCCTGAGAGGGGCCAGCAGTCTGGGGACGGTTGCAAGGACAACTTCCTATCTCCAGGATCCTCATTCATGGTTCTGCAGCACCTCTTCTGAACAGATTTGATCCAACACTCCAGAAGCTATGCCAGGAAAGTGGGGGAGACATATCCTTAGTCACATGTCCAGTGACAGAGCACCAAAAGAACACACATCAGGAGACAGCATGGATACACTTTGGTCCAGGACATCCCTCAGTTGACAGCACCCCTTAGTGGGTCTGCAGAACCTGAGGAGCAGGAGAGGGGCGTGGTTGTCCTCAGTGAAGACAAGGACAGGGATGAGGATTTGATCCTCTAGGCTGGCTAACCCTGGGGACCCCTGGCTGTCATTTCACACACAGTCATTCCTGACTCTGGGCGGTGTGGCTTTCCATATCGAGTCCATGGTTGAGTAGTTGTGATGGTGACGCCTGTCTCTCACCTTTGAGCACCATGGGGACAGGGAAATGACACTTGAGAACTTTTGGGTTAGAAACCTTGAGTGGAGGGCCCACAAGCAGAGTTCAGCATCTGGCCTGGAAATCTTTGGGCCAGGGGTGCTATTGGGGGCCAGCACTATCCAGCCCCTCTTGGGACTGAGGGGAAGCAAGTTCTCCCCACTCCCCTGCTCCTGGTCAGCAAGGTCAGGGGACCTTGGCACTGGGTGTGTGCTTGGCAGGGTCAATACTGAGGAGTGGGGCTCATGAAACCACAAGAAGCTGGGTCTGACCTCCCACAGACAGGCAAGGAGTTGACTGTTTCCTCCTGAAGGCAAGCGTCCCTGACTCCCAAAGCAGGGGTGTAGAACCCTTGCTGGCCGCTGCCTCTGCCCAAGGAAGAGAAGGATGTGGGCTGTGGCACAGGGACGATCTTTGCAGCAGCATTTTGGTGAGCTGCAAAAGGGGCTGGTGTTCTGATACTTTCCTTGAGCAGTGATGGTTGTTAGCTGATTAGGAAAGGAGTGGAGAGGTGTCTGTGCATTGATATTTTTTAAGGCAGGGTGGCTGGCGGGCAGGCAGGGTGAGCCAGGCAACAACACAAATGGCTAAGGCCTCCCTGTGCCCCTAGGTCAGCCAGAGCAGCCTCCCCATGCTGTCCTCGCCATCACCAGGACAGCAGGTGCCAACTCCACAATCCATGCCCCCACCTCCCCAGCCATCGCCACAGCCTGGCCAGCCTGGCTCACAGCCCAACTCCAATGTCAGGTAGGTGGGGGGGGGGGTCACCTGCCCCAGAGGCCCTTGCTACTCACCAGCTGCCCCAACATGCCTTTCCTCTGCTGCAGCTCCGGCCCCGCCCCGTCCCCTAGTAGCTTCCTGCCCAGCCCCTCACCGCAGCCTTCCCAGAGTCCAGTCACCGCACGAACCCCGCAGAACTTCAGCGTCCCTTCCCCTGGGCCCCTCAACACCCCAGGTGAGTTGGGCCAGGAGGGTGCCCCCAGACACATCCTTGTGCTAAGTAATAGGTGCCTAGGTGGGTGAGATGGGGCACTGGTGGAGGCAGGAGGGGTCTAGCCACCCCTCACAGCCGTGTCTACATAGTGAACCCCAGCTCGGTCATGAGCCCTGCCGGCTCCAGCCAGGCCGAGGAGCAGCAGTACCTGGACAAGCTGAAGCAACTCTCCAAGTATATTGAACCGCTGCGGCGCATGATTAACAAGATTGACAAGAACGAAGGTACGGGGTTCAGGTGGGCTGCTTGTGGGTTGGGGGACAGCGCCAGTGTCTGAGCACCCACCCCTCTCTGCCCTAGATAGGAAAAAGGACTTGAGCAAGATGAAGAGCCTCCTGGACATTCTAACTGACCCCTCCAAGCGGTGAGCACAAGGTCCACAAGGGTACAGTGTGGGGCCACTGCATCCCAGCAGCAACTTCAGCCTCGGCCTCATGCTCCCGAGCTCCCACTCTGGTCGCGGGCACACATGTCCTATGGTGAAACACCCCCAGCAAGTGACCTTGGCCTGGGAACAGGGTGTTGTAGGTTTAGAGGTGTCTGGGCAGCACATTGATCCCTGGCCAGGGCTCCTGTTGAGGAGCCAAAGCCGAAGTTGCATCCACTTCCACTTGTTAGGTCCCCTGCTGGTGCGTGTCACCTGTAACCATGGTGGGTCTAGATCTGACTAGTGACCCTGTGCGGTGACTGGCATATTCCTGAGATGTGGTCACCCATGAGGCTGCAGACAAGAGCTGAGTGTGCCAAGAAGTGACAAGTTCTCAGCACCAGGCTCAGTGCCCCTTCTAAAAGGTTCTCCCATTCCTGCTGAATCAGGCAGAACTCCAGGCAGTACTGAACTGTTGAGAACCTCGGAGCTGGACTCCAGGACTTTGACCTTCGTTGACCCCAGGGAGTTGAAGGATGAGGACATGAGAGGGCAGGGCCAGCCTTAGTAAGAGTGGTGGTCCCATGACCTTAGCCTCTGTCCAGGCTCCATTCTGTTTCCTGATGGTCCTAATTCTGCTAAGTGGAAAGGATCTACTGTAGGGGCAGCACTGTCCCACCTGGACCAGGGAACACTGAGTGGTCACTGTGGCACTGGCTATGCTTGTCCTGTGGAGGGACTGTGATCAACCACCTGCCCTGAAGGATGCCCCCCCCTTACCCTAGATGCCCCCTGAAAACACTGCAGAAGTGTGAGATCGCCTTGGAGAAACTCAAGAACGACATGGCTGTGGTAATTCATGGGCCCCAGGAGGTCAGCCAGGCCTTGCTCGGAAAGAGGTGGTCCACAGATCATGGTGGGAGGGAGTGTCCATGGTCCACAATCTGGATGAGGAAGGTGGGACCCAGGGGCTGTGAGCCCCGGCCTCCCAGCATTCATGTCTCTTGTCTAGCCCACACCACCGCCACCCCCCGTGCCGCCAACCAAGCAGCAGTATCTGTGTCAGCCCCTCCTGGATGCCGTCCTGGCCAACATCCGCTCACCCGTCTTCAACCACTCCCTGTACCGCACCTTCATGCCGCCCATGGCAGCCATCCACGGTCCACCAATCACGTATGCGACATTGGCCAAGGGACAGAACCCGCCACCACCAGGGTGACTGCGGCTACCCCTACTCACTGCTCACTTTCCTCCAGGGTCCCCTCCGTGTGTACCCGGAAGCGCAGGTTTGAAGAGGATGAGCGCCAGAGCATCCCCAATGTGCTACAGGGGGAGGTAGCCCGGTTGGACCCCAAATTCCTGGTGAACTTGGATCCCTCTCACTGCAGCAACAACGGCACCGTCCACCTGATCTGCAAGCTGGGTGAAGCCTGGGATCCCCTACACTGCTGTGCACACACACCCCTACCCCAAGACCCCTTCCACAGGCCTCCCCTCAGCTTCCCTCCCTTGAGAGCCTGCCCCTACTCAGGCGCCCTGCCTGCTCTGACCTAGCTCCCTAATCTGAGGCCACATGCCTACCCTGATAGAAATAAATGGTGGTCCTGCTGGCCACAGGTTGTATGTGGGTTCTGCAGTGTACCCCAGATATTTGTAGACCTGAGTGTGTGGCCTCAGGTTGATAGCACACTTCGGTTGGAGGACTTTAGGCAGATAGTGGAGGCTGGTCACAGTGGGGAAACTTGGCAAGGGAACTCCTGTGGGGGCTGGTCACAGTTGGTGCCATTGGGCAGAAAGGACTTGTGTGAGGTACAGCTCCAGGTGAACAGCAGGGGCTGGTCACAGTAGGATAACTTCAGCAGGGGACCCTTATGAGATATAGTGCACAGTAGGGACTGGTCCCAGTTGGGAGTCTTGGGTAGGAAGACCCTGGGCAGACAGCAGGGCAGTCATGGGACCTGCCTTGTGTGCTGCAGATGACAAGGACCTCCCAAGCGTGCCACCCCTGGAGCTCAGTGTGCCAGCCGACTACCCCGCACAGAGCCCACTCTGGGTTGACCAGCAGTGGCAGTACGGTGAGGGCTACAAGGAGTTACCCCCTCTACCCACTCCCTACCTCACGGGGTGTGACTGCTCCATGGACACCTTGTACTGATTTCTCTGGGGTAAATTTGGGGGCAACACCTGAGAACAGGCTTGCCTGGCCTGAAGTCACTGTGTTCTCTGTGTAAGCTACATGAGGCCTCTAGCCATGCGGGGCTTAGGCTCATGGGGATATGCTGGATGACATGACCCTCAGTCAGAGTCAGGAGAGAGACCCCATGGTGGACAGACAAGGATCCCAGAGGACTTTTCCCCAAGCTCCAGTTTTGTTGTTTGTTCTCGAGTTAGAATTGACCCTCAAATGGGTTTTCAGAGGCAGTAAGTCACCCAGGAGATTGTCCAGCCTTCCCCCATAGAACAGTTGGTGGATTCAAACTGTATGCCTTTGGGATTGCAGTATAGCTTCTAACCACTTGGCTGCCAGAGCCTTGTCCAGATCCCCCATGTTTGAGTACTGGAGGCATTAGAGCAGTCGTAGGGTGCATGGGCTGCCCTGGGGAGGCACACTCAAGACCCCTGCTCACTCTCTTGCAGATGCAAACCCCTTCCTGCAGTCGGTCCACCGGTGCATGACTTCACGGCTGCTGCAGCTCCCCGACAAGCACTCAGTCACAGCGCTGCTCAACACCTGGGCACAGAGCGTCCACCAGGCCTGCCTCTCAGCCGCATAGCAGCACCTGGGCCGCCTGCCACCTCCAGACCTGCTGGAGACACAGCCACATGTGCCATGGTTCTGGGCGTCGATTCCTTAGCAAGCCTGGATTAGGTTAGCTTTCTTGCTTCTATCTTCCGCCTTGGAACCTACCACATCTTTCCCCACCCTCAGACAGGCAGCTGTGGGGCTGACGGCGCTGTGCCATGGGAGGGCTGGCAGTCTTCCTCAACACAGCTGTCTGCGGGAGCATCCTCTGGGGTGCCCCTCCCCTCGCCTGCCACTCTGCTCCCCATCCTACGCTCGACTGGTGCACACTTGGTCTTCACCAGCGCTGCTTCCACCCAGCACATGTGCACAGTACTCATGGTCTCATCAGAGTGCTGGGTGCTTGGATACTGTTCAACCTGCTTCCGCAGGAGAACATGGGAAATCCTCCACACACGGAGCCTTGCCTGCAGCTCTGGGTTTACACAGACATCACCTTTGCAATATATGAGTCATGTCGCGGGGCAGTGGAGATCCCAGGAAGCAGGCTCCCCCTTTGGAGGGATGGCCTGGACTCCTGTCCCTGTGCCCGCAAGCTGGGTGGAGGCATCGAGGCCCAGCTGGAAAGGATGAAGTGTGACTAGACCAATAGCTGGGACGTCACCACCCACCACGGCCTATTCCAGAGTGAAGCCGAGCTGAGGTTGGGCATGCGCCATCCTCCAGAGCCACCTGACTCTGTGTGCCACCAGGCCACCCTGATGTCAGTTGGCCAGTCAGCCTCAGCAGGAGAGACCACCTTTTGTATGTGTGCTACTTACGTTATATGTGGTTCTTAAATAAATTTATTATTCCTGTGCTCACTGTGAATCCATTACTGGGCTCCCTGTCTTGTCCGTTCGCTGGGGCACGATACACACCTGTCCTCACCCAACACTTGGTATCCTGCAAACCCTCCAGCTATAATTCCTACAGTGGAGGCAGGGACATGGGGACCCTAGCCCTGGAGAGCAAAGGAGCTCAGAAGTTAAACTGTTCTGAAAAGCAAGAAGAAGGGCATGAATGCTGGCCCTACAAGGGGAGGAGTGCCTCCATTTCAGAAAAATCTGGATGCTGGGGTAGACAGGAAGGGTTTGTTGACCAAGGGAAGACTCTGCTGGCTCCCACAAGGCGCCTGCGTGAGCCTCCTGCCCCAGTTGTCTGAAGAGTCATGGGGGCCAGGCAGGGTGAAGAATGGGACAGTAATTGAACGAAACAAAGGTTTATTCTCCAGCCTGGCAGGTTAAGACCTGCCTTCATAATGTGCTTTTGTGTACATGCAGAAAAGTAAAATCGGTGAGAAATTCTCAGCTCTGAGATCAAGCATCTTATCTGTCAGAAGTTCTCAGAATTCATCTTGCCTTAAGGTGGCAGGGTTCTATAGTGCCTCCCAGGGGCTAGCTCCTCACAGGTGCCTCTGCAGCCACTGGGCTTAAAGCACTGAGCGGTGCAGGCGCCGGTTTTGCACCGCCTGCAGCCGCTTGTGCCGCTCGGCGAAGCTGCTTTTCAGGCTCTGCTTGAGGGCAGGCAGGATGGCCCTCTCTGCCATGGGCACCGGGCTCAGGATCAGGCTGGGGACAAAGGCAGGCCACAACACGGTTAAGCCCACTGGACCCGGGACCCAACCTCAGCCCCTCAGTGCCAGGACTCACCATTTCTTAGACAGGCTTTTCTTGGTAACCCTGGGTAACTGCATGGGCTCCTGGTCCCTACAGAAGGGGACAGAGAGTGGGCCATGAGCCATAGCCAAGCCTGGCACTAAGGTGGCCTGAAAGGGGTACTCACTTGGGCAAACTGGGCTCCGGCTCCTCGGCAGCGCAAGGCTCCTGGCTCCCATAAAGCAGGGACTTGAGGTACTGAAGCTGAAAGGCAGGAGGAATGTGTAGGGGCCTGTTGGGTCTAGAGCCCACCCTTTTGCCCAGGCCTCACCTCCTGGGCCTGTAGGAGGTTGGCATTCCACAGCTGGCGGATGAGCACCTCACACTGGTGCAGAGTACTGGGCTTCTGCAGGTGTGGGGATAGACTGGCCAAGGCTGTCAGCTTGCCCTTGGACTGGCTGATCACACCAGGAGCAGCCCCAATGCTGAGAGCTTCTGCGTCTTCGTTTCTGAAATATTCACTGAGTCCTGAGCCCCTCAAACAGTCCCTTGTTGCCCCACCCACACCAGTGTGGGACATGGGACAGTGAGGAAGTGCGGTGCCCACACAACTCCTTCCTCAAGCGGACCAGATTAAAGAGAGCATTAGATGGGTCTCCTTTGTTGGAGCAGCCCGCGGATTTGAACTATCAGAGGCGCCAACTTTGAGTTGGCAGTGCAACTCCCTGCACTACCAGACATGTTGGCCACAGAAGGACAATTATGTTCTCTCTCTGGACATAAAACCCCTCCCCACAAAGGCTAAAAGCACCCTGATGGTGTGCTTTTAATGCACTAAAAGCAGCCCTGCTTTTAGTACAGCTGCTAACTCGAGGTTGAACCAACCTGCTGGGGCAGAGCAGTGTGCTTCCAAAAAGACTGCAGCCTTGCAAACTATGGGTTGGGAGGGTATCTCTACTGCAAGATAGAATTGCTAGGAGGTTGTGAGTTTTTAGGAAGGCTCAGGTAAACAAAACCCTTCATATGTTAAGTTTGGGCAATGAATAAGGACTATGGAAGAATTACTTATGAATATGAATGCACTATCAAAGGAACAAAGCTTTTCTTAAAAGGAGCAAAGGCAAGGTTGGTGAGACTTGAGACTTCTTCTCACATAGTCTGTGCATGTTATCAAGAACTGGAGGACATAATGCTTGGGCATGGAGGGTTAACCAAAAAGATGCAAGTCCTTGTTTATGTATCAATGCGGCTATGACCCTCAGTATATCTAGCCGTTGTGTTTCTTGAAGAAAAGAGTTCCAGTGCTCCCTTCGGCAGCACATATACTAAAATTGGAACGATAACAGAGAAGATTAGCATGGCCCCTGCACAAGGATGACACGCAAATTCGTGAAGCATTCCATATTTTCGACCCTGAAATTAACCGGTCTGTAACAAAGGCTAACTCCTTTCACCTACAAATTTCGTCTTTGGATACAAAGCTAAGTGGATAGTCCTTACGGAGGGACTGTTTAAAAAGAGGCAGGGAGAAGAAAAGGAAAAAAAAAAAAAGAAAAGAGTTCAGAGCCAGCCCTGAGTTGGATGCATAAGGTGGGCAATGCTAGGTTGCACTCGGGATGCTAAGGGGCCCCAGCAGCACGGGGGCCCTGTGCAGACATAAGGGTGGGACTCACCTGGCCAGGTACAGCATGCAGGCTCCAGGACCTCTGTTGGGTTTGCCAGTATGTGACAGCCCTGGGCTCTGGGGTTCCCCCTCCAAGTCAGCCTCCTGGGAGACCTCAGCTTTTGAATCCTGCTTCTTAAAGTAGCTAGGCTGGGGTCTGGTCTTGCCTTGAGAGATGGCTGCAGGCCAAACCCAACAGAGATGTCACCGAGGGGCCAGACCATGGACATGCTCTCCAGGATTGACCATGCAACCGAGGAATGCCTGCCTGCCTCAGTTTCCTGCTCTGTAAGGAAAGGCAGTGCCCACCTCCCTCGGTGGGCTGCTAGGAAGCATGAGCTGGTCTGTGGGAGAGGGTGGCACCCACAACCCCCCAAACGGTCTCCCCAATCCTAGGACAAGAGGTGAGGGCGACAAGGGAGATGGGACCAGGGAGGTGAGAGGGATGAGGAAGGTGAGAGGACAAGGGAGGTGGGAGGGATGAGGGAGGTGGGGAGGACAAAGGAATTGAGGACAAAGGGAGGGAGGTGTGGGGGACAAAAGAGAAGGGACTGGCAGCTGCCGAGTGAGCTGTTCCTAGACTCAGGTCAAAAGAATGAGCGGTCTGGGGACTTCAGGGATCTTGGTGAGGCTTGTCCTGTCTGGCCAGTGGGCACCCTCCCTGGGGAGGTGGGAGCAGAGGTGCCCTCCAACTCATTTCCCAGCTCCACCCATGCCCACACGCCCCACCCACATCCGGCACGCCCCACCCTGTCCCACCCCACTTGCTTCCTACTCGAGACCTTCACCCTGGCTGCTGTGCTTGTGCACATCGGGATCATGGCCTCTCTTTTCACCGCCCACTCAGGAGCTGCCCTTCCTCCCCATCCCTCCAGCTGGGTCTAGCGCACAGAGTTCTCGCCAGGACAGCCTGCTTGCTACCGGGCAGAGCCGTGAGGCGCCTGACAAGGTCGAATTGGCGACAGACTTGTTGGACAGGATGCTAGATGTGGAGAAGCTGTCTGGGGGGGGGGGACGGTATTCGAACATAAGCCCCAGATGCAACAGCTCCAGCACCCCTTGCTTTGGTTTGGCCAGGTCCAAGCCCACTCTTGCCCACCTGTGGCCTTTCGTACTGTCCTCTGCCCAGCCCTACCCAATCTGCTGCCGAGAGAAAAGCAGGCCATGGGAATTCTGGCATTGACCAAAACACAAGAGTCCAGGAGTCACAGTGATGGATACAAGGACAACCCCTAGCAAAGTCCCACCAGGCAAAGCTTCCCATCACCCAACTCTCCAAGTGTCCACAGGGCAGTCACCTCAACCCACACCCAGGGGCTAGTACGGTTCAGACAGTGGACATGCCTCGGGCCTGGCTGTAAGACAGGATCACTATGACACATGGGGGCACCGGGCTTTGTGGGGGTCACCCAGCAGAGCAGAGCTGGCGTTCAAGTCCTTCCTCATTCAGAGCTCTCGATCCACAGAGGGCTGTACCAAGAGCCACCTTAGTGCACTGTGGGGCCCACGGCAAATCTGCTCACAGTTCAGACTTAATAACCTACACCAGGGAAACACCAGCATGGCAATGATGACTGGGCAGGCACTGGCCCCAAAGCCTGACCCTGCTTCAGGAACCCCAAAGGCTCACTTGCTTGGGGAAGACACTGCCTGCTGCCCTGCCTGCTGTCCCTAGTGCGTAGATGTCTGTCCTCAGCACCCTACAAGGAGCAGCGCTGCACCGGGGGCACAATGTGTCAGCCAGAAGACAGAGTGCTGGGTGGGGCATAGCAGTCAGTAGGGCTACTCCCACTAAAGACCCTGGACAGTGGGACTTACCTTTTTTTGATGGCTTCTGATTCATGATCAGCTTGTAGTGGAGATCTAAAACCAACCAAACATATTGTTGTTATGTGCCACTGAGTTGCCCACAACTTACAGTGACCATGCTGCTCAATAGCTCTGAAGCCTGCCCTATTCTGAGTCAGTTTCAATGACTGACACGCTCATTACCCCAGTCACTGTGTCAATCCATCTCATCTGGGATCTTCCTGTCCTGCACTGTGTCCCTCCACCCTTCCAAGCATGATGTCCTTCTCCAAGGATCGGTCCCCCTAACCACGTGCCTAAAGTATGTGAGACTGAGTTTCAAAATCCCAGCCTCCAAGGAGAAATTTGGTTTCATCCTCTCCAAGACAGACCTCTTTGTTCTCTTGACAGTCCGTGGTATGTTCAATACTCTTCTCTAGCACCACAAATCAAAGGCATGGATTCTTCTCCTGTCATCCTTAGTCATTCATTGTCCAGCTCTTTGATGATGCATAGCACGTTAATTGTGAAAACCTTGGCCTGTATCAGGCGCACTTTAGTCTTTAAACTGTCATCAATGCTCCTCAGTACTCTGGAGAGGTCCCTGACAGCAGATTTTCCAAGTGCACATTCTTATTATAGTAATAATATCATTATTACAAAGTGGATGATAATAATATGAACTTCTGGTGATCTAGAGGATAAGAAGCAGTGCTGTAATCCAAAAAGCACGTGATTTGAATCCATCAGCTGTTCCACAGGAGAGGATTGACAATCTCCTCCAATGTGATTTACAGTCTTTGAAAAGTCAGCTGTGGGTTGGATTCAACTCAACAAAATACAACAATATTATAATTAATAAGTAGACTCTTATTATAAATAGCACCTTATTTTTGTAGCCATAGCCTCTTAGAGTAATAGTCTTACTCTGCCCAGTTCTCCCTCCTTGCTGAACTCTCCCAGTCCTGAACCCCCAAGAGTCCCCAATAACTCCCCTTATCAAGTCCTGGCCTTGGGTGCCCTTAGCCAGCAACACTTCTGTACAAGCCACAGATCCCTGTGGTGAAAACTTCAACCTCTGTCCATTCAAGAGATATCTAAAGGACAGAGATCCAGGACACAGGAGAGTCACATGACCCAGTCATCCAAGAGCCCTTGGACGAGTCTGTGTCCTCAGTGACACCAAGGATGCTGAACGTCAGGGACTACTCACTGCTGGCTGGACTTGAGGGACACTGAAGAAGGTGGGGAGGGTCTTGATGGAATGGACATCCAATGCCGTGGCACTTGGCTCCCAGAAAAGGGGCAGATGAGGAGGCGAGGAAACCAAGTATCAGAGGGCTGAGGTGCTGGAGGGGTTTATGGACAGGCAAGAGCTCTAGCAAAGCTGGATACTGGATAGTGTCCTCCTTTGTGCAGACCATGTGCTGGACAGGCATCCCCATCCCCCACCCCACCCCTAGCCACAGCTGCCTGTATTGCTGGTTAATACTGATCAAGCTGTTTACCCTTTTTTTCTTTTTTAAAGTTTAACTTCTATTAAGAAGATACTTCTGCGACTTTGCAAATGCTGCTGCCTCAGCAGAACTCTCATCCACTCCAGTGCTTGCACTCAGTAATGGTCAGTCCCACTGGCTACTTCTACATCTGTCAATGGCAAACCTTTAGGGTATGTCTCCTTTGAGCTGTTTGCAGATAAAGTCCCAGAGACAGCAGAAAACTTCTGCACTCTGAGTATTGAGGAAAAGGATTTGGTTACAAGGGTTCCTACTTTCACAGAATCATTTCTGGATTTATGTATCAGGGTGGTGACTTCAAACATTGTAATGGTACCAGTGGCAAATCCATCTATGGGGAGAAATTTGATGATAACTTCAGCACACAGATTCTGGCATCCTGTCCATGGCAAATGCCAGGCCCAATACAAAGAGTTCCCAGTCTTTTTATCTGCACTGCTAAGACTGAATGGTTGGAGGGCAAGCGTCTAGTCTTGGGCAAGGTGAGAGAAGGCATGAGCATTGTGCTTTGGGTTCAGGAACCGCAAGACCAGCAAGATCACCACTGCTGACTGTGGGAAGCTCTCCTGTGATCTGCATTTCACGTTTCCCTTAATCACCACATCATTCCTTCTATAGCTCCAGAGGTCACCCCGCTACCCCAGTGTACTCCCAGTATCTTTAATCTTTGTGATTTCACTACAGTTCTTTGGATTCCATGTTTTCTTTCTTTCCCTCCAAGTTTAGCAAGATTGCAGAGTTAAGTTTACAACTGTTAAGTGAAAACTAAAGGAAAAAATACTTCAGTAATGGACTCGAGTGTGTTCATGGCGAGGGTGGCACAGGATAGGGCAGAGTTCAGCTCCGCTGTTCCTGGGGTCGCAGTGAGTCTCCCTCGACTAGACAGAACCTAACAGCAACAACAACTTCTATTAAAAATTATGGGCAGGTTTCTGAAGGACCAGAGGAGAATGTGATGTCCTGTGTCCACCCTAAGCCTTGGGTATTTACTAGTTTGAAGACCCAGGGCACCGAGTTCACGGGCTCCCCAGGCCTGATACCGGGTGGTCGGGACAGTGTCCAGCTCAGTTCACGCCGGCACACTCACCCTTGTTCTCTCGCTTCAGGTGGTCGATCTCCTCGTGGAGCTTGACCAGTATCTCTGAGTGCTGCTGCTGCACGAACTGAAGGTTGTTCTCCAACTCCAGGATCCGCTTCTGCGCCTCGGGGCCCGGCAGCTGGCAGCTAGGCGCCGTGTGCGCGATGCCCCCGGACTGACGCGGACGCGGGCGCATCCCGCCGCGAAAGCCCAGGGGCCTGGAGATGGTGAACCGCAAGCCTGTCGCCCCCTGCCCGCTCATGAAAACCCCGGCCTCCCCTCCGCTTTCCCGCCGCTCAGCTCAGTCACGCAGGACCGCCGCCGCGTCTCCATGGACACTGGCGCGGCCGAAGGGCGGGGCCGCAGCTGAGGGTGGGACCTGCGCGCTTGGGGGGGGTGGGCTAACATATGGGGCGGGGCCTGAGTGCTCAAAGGATGGGGCGGCGGCCTAGGAGTGGGGCTTAGCTACTTGAGGGGCAGGGCGGCGACCTAGAGGTGGGGCTTCTCCGCCTGAGAGGGCGGGGAGGCTGTCCGGGGGTGGGACTTGGCCCCTTGAGAGGAGGGACGGCTGTCCAGGGGTGGGGGGGCCGTCAGATGGAGGCAGGGGCGTGGGCGTTCAGAAGGTGGGGTTTAGCGGCTTCAGAGACCAGGTGAGCGGCTGGGGGCGGGGCCGGGACACGTGTCGGATGGGCGGGGCTTAGCTAAGAGGTGGAGCTACCCGGTGGGGCGGGGCCTGTTAATAGGAGGATGGTGTTAACAATTTAGAGTGAGACTGGGCTGCGCAGACCGACTGGAGAGACCCAAGGGATAGGAAGACGGCAAAAGCTTAACCGTTACAATAGGTGATGCCTTTATATAGTAAAAAATCAGAAGGCAGACTTTGTGCTGCCGATACTATAGTGTTTTGTTTTCTTGTTTGATTATTAGTTGGGTTTTTTTTTTAATAATAGTTGGAGTTGATAGATTAAAGTCCTGGTTCTTTCTTCTTTTTTTGATGTGTGAGCTAGCTATAAATTGACCTCTGTACACTGTTTTTTTCCTATATCTAAAACACTTTGGTATGTTGATTTTCATTCATATTTGTTTCTAGGAATTCTTTAACTTGCTATTTCTTCTGTCACTCAGTAGGTTTTTTAAATAAGCCGTGTGTTATTCCATTTCTATGTATTTTGTTCTCCTTGAGCTTCCTGTTACTGATTTCTAATTTAATAGCATTGCGATCTGTAAATATGGTTTGTATTATTTTGATACTTTTAAATTTACTGAGACCTGATTTGTGGCCTACATATGATCTCTCCTGTAAAGTTAACCATGTGCACGGGGGAAAAAATGTGTATTGCATATTTGTTGAGTGGAGTGTTCTGCATATGTCTAGGAAGCCAAGCTGGATGATCTTACTGTTGAGCTCTTTTCTATCTTTGATGAGGTTTCCTTCTAGTATTCTATCCTTTGTCAAAAGCGGTGTGTAAATCAGTCTTTTTCTCAATGGAGCTGCAGCAGGAGTTGCTGGACCGGTGGTGTATTGGGGCTACCCACTGCCCTCTGCCTGCTACGACCTTTGCACTGCTGTAGACATAACTGAGCAAATGACCCTTTGTGGCACCTTCAAGAATCACAATGGCTGGGTGACTCGGATTGCAGCCACATGGCAGTTCCCAGATATGTCTGATTTGCAAGATAAGACCCTCATCATGTGAAAGCTGACCAGGATGACACCAACTATGGCATTTCTCAGGTTGCTCTGCATGGTCACTCCCACTTTATTAGTGATGAGGTCATCTCCTCTGATGGTCAGTGGCCCTGTCTGGTTGTTAAGATGAAACGCTCCACCTCTGGGATCTCACCACAGATACCACCACACACCGTTTTGGTCTTGTAGGCCATACAGAAGATGTGTGGAGTGTGGCCTTTGCTCTGACAGAGCAGATTGTCTCAGCATCCAGAGAGGAAACCATCAAGCTGTGGAATCCTTTGGGTGTGTGCAAGGATGCTGCCCATGATGAAAGTAACTCAGAAAGGGTTGTGTGTCTGCTTCTGACACAATAGCCTCAACCCTGTCATCATCCCCTGTGCCTTGGACAAGTTGGTCAAGGTGTGAAACTTTCAGGCTCACTCACTACAAGCTGAAAACCAACCACCTTGCCCACACAGGCTACCTGAACACTGTGACTGTCTCTCCAAATGGATCCCTCTGTGCTCTGTGCTGTGGGACCTCAATGAATGTGGTACCTCTGTATGCCAGATGGTGGAGACATCATCAACGTCCTGTGCCTTAGCCCCAGCTGCTACTGGCTCTGTGCCACAGGTCCCAGCAGCAAGATGTAGGACTTGGAGACAGGATGGGCTGCAAGAATTTAGCAACAGCAGCAAAGCTGAACCCCCAGTGCACCTCTCTGGCTTGGTCTGATGATGGCCAGACTCTGCCAGTTACAGAGATAAGCTGGTACGAATATGGCAAGTGACCATTGGCACTTAGTAGAAATTTATGGCACAACTTCGTTGTTCTTATGTGCCAATGAGTCAGCCGCACCTCACAGTGGCTTTATGAACAATGACTCTGAAGCCTGCCCTGTCCTGAGCCAATCTCACAGTTTCTGACACACCTGTCCCCATTGACTCACTGTGTTAAGTCCATCTCATCCAGGGTCTTCCTCACCTGTGTTGTCCCTCTAACCTTCAGAGCATGATATTCTTCTCCAAGGACTAGTCTCTCCTGGCCACATGCCCTAAGTATGTGAGACCGAGCTTCAAAATCTTGGCCTCAAAGGAGCAAGCTAGTGTCACCTTCTCCAGGACAGACCTGTTTGTTGTCTTGACAGTTTATGCTATGTTTAATACTTTTCTCCAGCACCACAACTCAAAGGCATCGATTTTTCTTCTGTCATCTTTAGTCATTGTACATACTCAGATGCTTAGCAAACAACTGAGAAGACCATGGCCTAGATAAGGCACAACTTAGTCTCTAGATTGACATCAAAGAAAGAAAAGTCTGGCTGCTTATCATAGTGGTCTATTTTTTTTTTCTGTTCTGTTTACTTCATGTATTTCACTGGGTGCTGTAGGAGAAATCCAACATGGAGTTCATGTGGATTCTTAGAAGTTATCTAAGTAGGTCAGTTTAGGACTCCTGATCATGTCTTGGTATATAGGTGAGAGGAAAATAGTTCAGATTGTTATGTTTAATATTAACAAGTAACCTTTCTCAGACCTTCAAAACAGTTATAAAGGCATCTGTGCCTATTTTTGTACTTGAAACTTGGTTTAATCTCAAAACTTTTTCTTGGAATTGGGCTTTCCAGGTAGAACAAAGTTGGGAACTGAATATCAATCAGGGCCTCGACTGCTGCTGCCCAGACTGATGATGTTTCTCCTTCTCAGTCTGGTGATACTTGCTATGCTATATACATATAAAATTGCTATTACATGCATTTTTAAAATTATGTTTTTAATATCAGAAAATTTATTGAAGAACTAAACATTTGAATTCTTGGATTTAGGCGTTGTTCCTTCACGGCTTCCACGCTTGACTCTGTGGTATACAATCTTTAGGTGCCTCATAAAACCAGTACCAGTGGTATTTCATCTTTTAGCCTTGGCACTCCAGTTTCTCTTGCAATTGGCAGGGTAGCCACACTTGCCATGGGTGGACTTCTGGAGGTGGCAGGCCTTGCAGCCACAACAGTGGGACCTGTGCATCTTATTGCAACGCTTTCCAAACAATGACGTTCCCTACATCTTCTCTTTTCTGCGGCTGAGACCAAAGAGACTAGAAGAGAAGGCACTTCCATAATTGCATGCAGAGGCTTCTGCCACTACATGCTTCTATAATTCCATGTTCTTCTAAAAAAGCACCACAGCTCAAAGGCATCAATTCTTCTGTTATCCTTAGTCATTGTCCAGCTAAATACCAAGTAATTGAAAAGACCATGGCCTGAATCAGGCGCACCTTAGTCCTCAAACTGGTATCAATGCTCCTCAATAATGCCAGCATGGTTGTGGGAGTCTGAAAATCATGCAGTAAGAGATTTCCCAGCTTTCTCCCTCAAAGCTACTGATATATTCAAACTGCTAGAGAAATACTTCTTTGGGTTAGCAGCACAATTCTCTACAGACTATGCACACAGAGCTCCCTAAAAATAAAAATGTTGTTATGTGCCATCAAGTCACCTGTGACTCATAGCAACTCTGTGTACAATAATTATGAAGCCTGCTCTGTCGTAAGCCAGTCTAACTGGCTCCAACACACCAATTGCCCTAGTCACTGTATCAATCCATCTCATCTAGGGTCTTCCTCTCCTGCACTGTCCCTCCACCCTTCCAGGCATGATGTCCTTCCTAGCCACAAGCCTAAAGTATGTGAAACAGACCTTCAAAATCGTTGCCTCCAAAGAGCACTCCAGCTGCACCCTCCCCAAGGTATATTTGTTTGTTCTTTTGGCCCAAGGAATGTTCAGTGCTTTTCTCCAATATCACAGCTCAAAAGACCTCAATTCTTTTTCTGTCATCCTTGTTCACTGTCCAGCTCTCGGATGCATAGCAAGTGATCGGAAAGACTATGGTCTGGATCATATGCACCTTAGTCCTTAAACTGTCATCATTACTCTTCAATAATTTGGAGAGGTTCCAAACTGCAGATTTGCCCAGCACAATGCATCTCCTTATTTCCTGACTGCTGGTACTAATAGGTGTTAATTGTGGATCGAAGCAAGATAAAATTGTTGAGAGTTTCAATCTCTTCCCCATCCATCACAATGTTGCCTATCAATCCAATCTTTGTTTTCTTGACACTGAGATGCAGTTCATACCAAAGACTGTATTCCTTGATATTCTGTATCAAGTTCTTCCAGTTCTCCTCACTTTCAGCAAGCAAGGTTGTATCATCTGTATAACATAAGTTATTGATGAGTCTCCCTCCAGTCCTGATGCCATTCCACTTCATAGAGTCCAGCTTCTTAAATAATTTGCTCAGCATACAGATTTAATAGGTATGAAGAGAGAATACAACCCTGGCACACTCCCCCACTAATGAACAATGCAGCATTCCTCCACAAGAGAACCAGCGTTCTCCCACTGAATAACAAGACAGCATTTTACCACTACAGAATGAGACAGCTTCCCCCCACTGAAGAACCAATGTTCCCCCACTACAAAATGGGGCAATGTTCCCCCACTAAAGAACCAAAAACAGCTTTGTTT